CTCCTCTGTGGCTACTCAGGACTCCTTTCTGGCTACTCAGGACTCCTTTCTGGCTACTCAGGACTCCTCTCTGGCTCCCAGGACTCCTCTCTGGCTACTCAGGACTCCTCTCTGGCTCCCAGGACTCCTCTCTGGCTACTCAGGACTCCTCTGTGGCTCCCAGGACTCCTCTCTGGCTACTCAGGACTCCTCTCTGGCTACTCAGGACTCCTCTCTGGCTACTCAGGACTCCTTTCTGGCTACTCAGGACTCCTCTCTGGCTTCCAGGACTCCTTTCTGGCTACTCAGGACTCCTTTCTGGCTACTCAGGACTCCTCTCTGGCTCTCGGGACTCCTCTGTGGCTCCCAGGACTCCTCTCTGGCTCCCAGGACTCCTCTCTGGCTTCCAGGACTCCTCTCTGGCTCCCAGGACTCCTCTCTGGCTCCCAGGACTCCTCTGTGGCTACTCAGGACTCCTCTCTGGCTCCCAGGACTCCTCTCTGGCTACTCAGGACTCCTCCCTGGCTCCCAGGACTCCTCTGTGGCTACTCAGGACTCCTCTCTGGCTTCCAGGACTCCTTTCTGGCTTCCAGGACTCCTCTCTGGCTCCCAGGACTCCTCTCTGGCTCCCAGGACTCCTCTCTGGCTCTTCCGGAGCTGCAGCCGGGCGATGGGAGCCGGGGCAGGCGCCGCTGCGGAGGATCGGAGCCGTGCCGAGGCCACCCCGGGTCAGTGCCCGCCGCCGCCGGGGATGCCCCGGCCGGAGGGAAGCCGGCGCTGCCGCAGCGCTGCCGGGAGGGGCTTTATAGCCGAAATCGCGACGTTTTCCCAAGCTCTGCGCCTACGTCCGCATTTGTCGCGCAGCATTTCCCCTCCTCGCTGCAGGAGCCAGCGCCCTATGCAAATGTGGGGTTACGAGGGTGGCTTTGTGGCGCTCGGTGTCACGCTGCTGCTGCCGCCCGGCTCGCCCTGCCGCTCCCGCAGCACCGGGGCATGTGCCACCCGTGCCACCCGTGCTTTCCCTGCCGGCTCCCTGTGGGAATGGCACAGAATCACCGCGCTGCCGCTCCTCCGCTGCTGGTGGCAGCAGCGCCCAGGGATGCTGGCATGGGCGGAGGAACCTCCCGTGCCAGCCCTGAGTGCAGGAGCGGCTGCATGGGACGGGTTCGGCTCCTGGGGTGGGATAACGCCCCGCATCCCGCACCCCGCACCCCGCACCCCTCATCCCGCATCGCTCATCCCACATCGCTCACCCACATCCCTCATCCAGCATCCCACATCCCGCACCATGCATCCCTCATCCAGCATCCCTCATCCCTCATCCCTCATCCCACCCACATCCCTCATCCCTCATCCCTCATCCAGCATCCCTCATCCTGCATTCCCACATCCCACATCCTGCACCATGCATCCCGCACCCTGCATCCCTCATCCCTCATCCCACATCCCACATCCCTCATCTCACACCCCACACCCCACATCCCACATCCCTCATCCCGCACCCCGCACCCCACATCCCACATCCAGTATCCCACATCCAGCATCCCACATCCCACTCTGCCTTTGGGGAGAAAGGTTGGAACTGCAGGGATGGGACAGGCCCTAAAAACCAGGGCAGCGAGCTTGGGAATGAGTTGTTTCCCAATGTCTTGGTTTAGGGCAAATTTGGGAGAAAACCTCTAAAGGGGTTTTCTCTAGAAAGCAAATTTAAGTGGCCTTTCTTAATTGGTTTGGGGGAAAGATTTCTTTGGAGAAAAGTGTTTATTTAACTTACAGGCAAAGCATTCACTAGCAGGAAAAATGAACAATATTAAACAATAAGACTTTTTGCTGCTCTGAAGAGATGACAAGCTGAGAAAAGTCCCCTTTGTGGGCTGTAGCTTGGTTACTTGGTCTCTTATCAGTGCTGGAAATGCCACAGCCCAGACTCAGCCTGATGGGCTATAGGTGAGAGCTGCCAGTGCTCTTCTGGGTTTTCAGTCCAGAGCAGGTTTAAATAGTTCTAAGGAAAAAGAAAAACCACACTCCGCAGAACTTTTCTGCCTCAGCTAACTAAAAACTAACCAAAAGCAAAGGAGAGCTCTGCCTCACCCTCGTCTGTCCGCAGAGAGCACAGTCCAGGAGCAGGAACGTGGGGGAGTGAGTGCAGTTTCTAACAACAAACTGCCTGCTTCTTCTTCCCCCCTTGGCTCTCAGAACCAGCCCTGAAGGTGCAGGATTTGTTTCTGGGCTAAACAGACGAATGGGGATACGAGCATCACAAAGTCACCCCAGTTTGTTACATCTCCGTGCCTGGATTTGCTCTTTCTGTCGCTGCTCAGAGGTTAGGGTGTCAGCGTTCAGGAACACACAGAATCACAGGATGTGATTATCTGCAGGTGTTTTATTGAGAGCTCTGGGAATCAGGGCTACAGACCCAAATCTGACTCCGACACAGCTTTCGAGCTGAACCTATTTTATATTCTATCATTATATTGAAAGGTAAACTTTAAGGAATTTGGAGATTTTAGAGGAGCTAAGATTTTAGTTAGAAATAAGCCTTACTAGAGTTAATTAAAATAATAATAATAAATGAGTAGGCCTTGATGAAGTTAGGAGTTAGTAGTTAACTAATAATTGATTGCTTGTCAGCACAATTACATAATACAAATTAATATTATCATAAATTCTGATCTTGCAATAATTTATTTCACTGTAATGAACAAGGACATGATTCACCTAGAGCAGTGAAAAACAGCCTCAGGAAATATACAGTTTTATTCTCCATGAAAGAGAGAGAAGATACAGTCTTTGCAGCCGAGTGTTGTGGCGGTGTTACTCAATTTAGTGTTACACAATTTAGTGTTACTCATTTTAGTGTTTTTATGCGTTTTAGTGTTTTTGCTCATTTTAGTGCTGTTAATAATTTCCATGCTGTTATTAATTTTTGTGCTGTTACTCATTTTAGCCTTGTTATTCAATCGCCCGCTCAGATTGCACTCCTCTCTGGCTGGTTTTTTGAGGCACATCCATTGCACATTCCAAGAAAATCATCCCACGGATTTCTCTTGGAAGGGGGAAAGCTTTTGAGGAACTGTTTGAAACTTCAGAACAGCCCGGGCCGGAGCTGCTCCCCAGGCCCTGAGGGGGCACCTCGGGCTGCAGCTGGCACTGTCACCAAGGGAGGGTGGCACCGGGGGTGCTGCCAGCCCTGAGGGGAGCCACTGTCCCCTGTGTCCTGTCCCTTGTGTCCCATCCCTTGTGTGCCATCCCTTGTGGCCCATCCATTGTGTCCCTTATGTCCCTTGTGTCCTATCCCTTGTGGCCCTTGTATCCCTTGTGTCCTGTCCCTTGTGTCC